AGGCAACCCTTCAGGAACATCTCCAATGTGAGTCCTTTCCAGGGGCTGCAGTTTTGCAAGAACTGCTCCAGCAAGAGTCCCTTTCACATGGTCACAAACCCTACCAGCAAACCTGATTCAGCATGGCCTTCTCTCTCCAAGGGTCCATGAATGCCAGGAGCCTGTTCCAGCATGGGCTTCCCATGGCATCTCAGGCTCCTTTGGGCACCACGTGCTGCATGGGCTGCAGGTGGGTCTCTGCACTCCTGTGGACCCCCATGTGCTGCAGTGGCACAGCTGCCTCACCGCGGTCTGCATCACGGGCTGCAGGAAATCTCTGCTGTGGCACCTGGAGCACGCCTGTCCCTCCTTCTGTGCTTGGTATCTGCAGGGCTGTTCCTGGCATGTATTCTCACTCCTCCTTTTGGCTACAGCCACATTTTTTATTTCCTTTTCTCCTTAACTGTGTTATCCCAGAGGTGCTACCACTATCACTGATGAGTTCAGCCTTGGCCAGTGGCAGGTCCATCTTGGCACCAGCTGGTGCTGGTTCCATCAGACATGGGGAGAGCTTCTGGCAGCTTCTCACAGGAGCCAGCCCTGTGGCCCCCTGTAACCAAACCTTGTCACCCAATACAAGGTTCTGCACACTAAAGTATCAGAAGATCTAGAATTTAAAAGAAGAAATATGAGTATTTATATTTTTAGTATTTCCATATCAGTGTTGCATGTATTTTCAGTTTCTTCCTCTGTTAATCTTACATGAAATGGGTTAACTCACCTGACCCATTAGATTAACTCTCCAATCTCCATATTATTGCTATTAATTCCATCTGCTTTAAGACAGAACCATATTTTAATGAACCTCATGTTCCAAAATAGTAATCTGATCATTCTGACTACAAATAATAGTGTATTAATATATTGTAGCTTACAAATACCAGAAACATACAAATGTACAAAGTGTATGGAAATTACACTGCTTTGTCTTTTCTCATACCAAATTGTAATGGAGCACTGTCACAAGAGTAATGAGAGTAATGATCAAATCAGACAGGAGTCTGAGAGAGTAAATCCAATCAGACAGGAAAAAATACTGTTGGAAAATAAGTATCTAGATCTCAAATATTTCATGTATGTTTTTTTCCTGATGCAGTTTCGTGCTGCATGAGACATGGGTATGCTTGCAGATACAGGATCAAAGAACAGAAATGTTAATTTACACTTTTTCAGCAGCTGAAAAATGGATTAAAATCTGATTATCTAAAAATAAAAATTAAGCAAAGTGTGCTTTGCAATTAGGCAGAGTGTGCAGATTTGTGAAGGGAAAAGAGAGATATTCTCACTCAACATCTTTCCCCTTCCTTGTGGTGAATCTCCATAACACACCATTGACTAATGACAGGAGAGATGAGTAATGGGGTAGAAGGGAGGTATTTGACTGTGGTAATGATGAAAAATCAAAGCACCAGTGAATGCAGACAGAAAGCAATGGACTTTGATGTGTGCTAGATGGAAAATAAAGTAACTTTCTTCCCCTTTTTTTTATTTATTTATTAATGGGAGATCCAGGGCAGAAGCTTTACAGGTGTGTTCCATGCTCCAAATTTTAATTTTTATTTTCTAATTTATTTGTAACAGCTAACTACACTGCACTTGAAAATCTTTTCTTTTAAAACTATGCATTGTTATACAATAGCTGTTTCATGCAGTAGGATTAACCGAAGGAATATTTCAGGTTTTTAGTCAGTGTTTTTATAAAAGTCAGTGTCAAGCAGCCACTTTGTCTGGAAAGTAAGAAAAACAACACTAATGGAGGGAATTAGCAACATACACGTACTGCCTGGTACATATGGCCCAAGATATATCATTATTGGTTTTAGGTTAACATCTACATTTTACTTTCTACAGACATGGAAGTGAAGAGACACAAAGAGATGCTGCCAGCACTCACCTGAGACTCTGAAGAATATCTTTGTTAGCAGGGAATTAGTGGAAAACCAGAAGTTATCATTCACTCCTTTCCTTCCTGTATTTTCAACAGCTTTTGGAAGTTTCTCCGAAATAGAGATGCCAAATAACATCTCTAAACTAATTAATATACTACAGCTTTTGTCTGGGTAAAACTAGAGAAAAACCCCATTACCATGCGACCTTCAACATCAGAACCTCTTTTTCCCTGGGAATGTAAACTTGGCAAAACTAGGGAAAGAAAAACTTGTTTTAGCTTATGCAAATCCTTTTATTTCTTTATGATGACTTAAGTATGTTGCAGAAAATGTACTCTGAAAATCCACATATGACTTAGAATTCTTGATGTTTTTCAATGCGTGGCTTTGAAATTAAAGATGAAGGCCCCTCAAGATACTTTGTGAAACCTGTGCTGATAATTAGCAACATGAGGAGCAACAAGCTTCACCTCTGACAGAAAAGGAGAGGTTCCTTTTTCTTGATAATAGCATTCAAATTTTGATGGGTTAATAAATGGCATGGACTGAAAAAGCAATTTCAGCTGAAATGCTGAGAGAATGTCAGCAAAATTAGTATGCCTGACAGTTTAACCAGCAGCACCTGAGAAGGATTACTGCTGTGACACGAGCTTGGCTCTCTTCTTCAGTCTGATAGGTTATGTTTGTTAAGCTGCTCTTTCTGGGATCATTACAGATTGGGCTTTCTTGGCTTCAAGAGAGTACCCAGGGCTGTTTAGTGACAAAAATATGTCCACTTTTTGGTGGTCTCTGCTACTTGATGATGTGACTGACTAATCTGAATTCAGCCATTTAAAGGAGGCATGTTTTGGAGGAAAGGAGCAAAGGAAGCCCTGCTGTCTTGGAAACACTGATCTTTGGCATAAAATTCAGTTTTTTTCCACATGAAGGTATAAAGACAAAAATCAAGTCTAAAGCTCAAGCTGCCAAGTACTCAGCCCCATCCTCTGCCCCACCTACAGGGCTACCAGTGGCTCCAGGGTACACAGCCATTGTTACAGCTGGCCTCTGAGATAAGGAAATGGCTGTAAAGTGGTTTAATGCTTTCTGGCCTATATACAAAAGTGGTTTTTTTGTGCGTTTTTTGTTAGTTTGTTTGTTCATTTGGTATTTTTGTGGAACCAGCCATAGCCTTTTAGTATAGCATTTCTGCAGCAAGTACAATCAATCTTCTCCTCACACTCAAGAAAGAATTTTAAAATAATCTTTCCCAAGGTGTAATGCATTTAGAAACAAAATTGTTCATAGTGAATTTTGATATTGAGGATTTTGTTTTGGAAAAAAACTTTAGAAGTTCCTAGTCTGTTTGCTGTTTTGTTGCAAACTTGCTTCATCTCAGCTTCTAACTTCCAGTCACTGAATTATTTTATATTGGAGGTGAACTCTCTCTCTAAAGATATGGTTACTAAAGTTCATTGTTCTTCAAGATGGATGTTCCTATTCAGATATAAAATATCTGTGTCCCTTATTGTTCACCAGGTGTTCTTTGATAGCAATAGATATGGGTAACAAAACATTACAGAGGAAATTGATATTCATGTGTTTTTTATAACTGCTCAGTACACAGGGGTTTTCTGCATGAATATGTTCTTAGTTCAATCTCTATTTAAATGAAAGCTTTAATAGAAATCTTACATTAATTGTTAACATAAATCATCATAAAAATTTTAGCTATACCTTGGTGGGATGTTTCAAAAACTCTGAATTTGATTGAAAGGCCTTGTAGAAGTTTAGATTTCCTAACAGGTTCTTTTAAACACATAACCTGTCTCAATTACTTTAGCCACTAAAGACTATCTTTTTATGAGGTAAGATTAAAGATTACTTATGAGAAAGAAATAGACATTAAAAACCCCATATTTTTCTGGCTTTACTACTAATCAGTATGCTTGAATATTTCACCCCTTTGATTATTCATTTAAGAGGAAACTGATTTATATTATAGTATAATATAAGTTATATATATATTTTATTAATATAGCACATAGAGTTAGACATATAATCATAATATGATTTTTTACAATGAAAACTTGAAAACTATTAGAAATTCCTTAGAGAAAATTCAAATATCTACTTATTTTTTCCTAATGGAAAAATATGCAGATATAAACTAATTAAATTTTCCGTAAACCTGCCATTTTTGGTGAAAAGAGAAAAAAAGAGAGTTCATGTAAGACAAGGCTAACAGGAGCTGTTGAATTCTCCTGAGATTTTTAGGCCTATGTTATGTCTCAGCATTTCCAAATCCAAACTGCAGTTTAAAATTCATTGTTTGTGTTTTAATCCTTTGAATACTTGAAATTTTTTTCTCATATACACAGACCAAACTTCTTTGAAGCAGTCATTGATTTCCAATCATGCATCAAGACCTGCAAGGTGACTTACATGGAAATGAATTTTGTAATCATTTTAGAGACACTGGCAAATTTGATGTAAGGTTTATTATTGACATGAATAGATTACAAATTTTTCTTAATAGTGCCATAAGATTAATCATTTTTCCAGATACAATTCATATACTCAGTGAGCTATTTATTATACAAGTCAACCAAACATCTGACTGGTGAATGTTCCATTTCCCTGATATCCATATGTCCTACTTGCTGTCATTGAATCTTCCAGAGGAACCCTATTTCACTTTTGCACCAGCCAAATATAATGTAAATTCACTTGAGAACACTCAAAGTTTATTCATTAAAACAAACAAACAAAATCACAGGTCTGTTTGAAAATGCAAACCTCAACTTAGGAATGTCTTGAAGTTGCATATGCATCTAATAATTCTCAACAATAGATATCAGCACCTCCAGCCAGCATGTGTTGGGAAGGATGAATAACTATAATTGCCAGGCAAAAGATTCACAATAGTACAGCCAGGATGAAAATAATCCCCCCTACTGATTGGACAATGCCCTTACCTACAGATAGGTCCAAAAGTCAAAAGGACTGTTCCATCTCAACCCCCAAAATGTATGGTTCATCCCACACCTGTAACCCTCCCCTGAAGCATCAAGTGTCTGTGACCCCATTGGCCCAAGTCTTGTTCCAGCCCACCTTGAAGCCCCCTGATAAGGGGTCTCTGAGGGGCCAGACGCTCTCTTGAAATCCCCGCTCTCTTGCAACTTTCCCCCACTTGGAACTTCCACCCTCTCCTGGAGCATCCTCTCTACCCGTTGTCTCTCCCCTCCCCCATCACCTCAGGCCTTGCCACGTGCTGCGTCTGGCAGTTCCAAGCAAGACCTTTCACCATCTGTAATAAACCTGATATTCTAAGAGCAGCCTTCAGAGATCTCTTGTGTCCATTCATCAAAACTGTCCTGGAGCCCAGCCTTCTCTACAAGCATGTACCTCATTTTGGATGATGGTTCATTCTCATAAATGACTCTCTCATTTGTATGAATAAGACTTCCACAGTGGGCAGTTCAGACCTTAACTATTAATGGAATGTGAAAAAGTTGTGGAAAATGGTCATAGCAGTTTTCTAACCTAGCAATAGAGGAAATGGGTTTGGATCTGACTCCAAGAATATTCACTATGGCTTCCAATTAGAACACAACTTGATCCTCTTACTTTTTCTATACCTGTCCCTAGCCAGATTAATGGAACAAACTCATAAGATCACTTTGCTAAAACTGCCTATAAAACCAAAATGCTGAACAGGATGCACTAATCCTCATTTTGAAAATGGAAATCAGCCTATTAAACTAACTTCACTGCTAATTGTTGACTGTGACACGAGCTAGTTAAAAGAACAGTTGGAAGCAATCACATGCAGAGAACAACATTTACAGTTTATACTTCTAAGCTCTGGATCAGCTCACATTTAAGTTAGAGGAAAAATTTGGTTTTAGTGGAACTAGAGCTGAGTCTTAATTGGTCCAAGTTCTGTGTAATTCAATGGATTTGTCTCTCCTTGAGGGAGCTGTGAACTTCTGTGTAGGAAAACACTGCAGTCAATCATTTACTGCTTTAAGGTGAGTTACACCTCATTGTCCTCTTTTGTCAATGCCAGAATGGGATGCAGAGGAAAGGAAAGGAGTTCAGTGATCCTAAGAAGGAGGTTAGTTTCCAAAATTGGGTAAACACATCATTCATTATTGAGATTGATATAAAACTCATTAATTTCAGTGGATGTTGGACCAGGTTGTCATTGTCTTTTTTATGTAGCTTTTGTTGGGCCAATTGCTGGATCTCAAAACAATGAATACTGCTGTACGTTTTTCACTGGGATTTGTATACTAAGTCACCTTACGTCGCCCTGCATAATCATCCAGGTATTTTACTATGAATATTACAAATTGAGATAATTCCCATTGGCATAGTACCTTTCTAATCACTAAAGCGAGATAAAAACTTTGATTACAAAGAAGAAAAAAGAGAAAAACATACTGCTAGATAATTAAATTGTTTAATGCCTGTTATTTGAAAAATAAAATAAAAAATATCTACTGAGAAATTGAGGATTGTTCTTGAAGTAAGCTTTTGCCCTTAGTATTCCTCAAGGACAAGATTAAGTATTTAGGTAGAAATACATTGTTACAGTTATCTTGGAGTATATATATGCTAAATCTCTCTATAGTGCTCAAAAGTAGAGTTTTCATAAGTTGGAAAAAACAAGAGCTTTCTCATTTTAGAATGAGGTGAGAAATATGGTTTAAGAAAAGTCAACCATCTAAGTGGGAAAAATAACATATTTCAAATTCTAATCTGAATATTTCTAATTCTAATAATTCAAATACTTCCAGAAAATAGTTGTGTCAATAGATTATTTTACAGGCATGGTCAATGCAATCAAATGTTTATTTAAATAGTACAGTGTACCATCCCTGAAACCAAATGCAAGAGATTGTCCTGGTCTCTATGCTGCAGCTGTCAGAAGGATCAGCATTAACAACTAACATCAAGAGCCAGAACTACCTGCAGATTGATGCATGGAGATGTGTGCTGCACTGTCCCATCAAAGGTGTACTGTTGCACAGGAAGAATGAATGCATTTCACCAGGCAGATGAAAAGCAAGCAGAGAGCAGCACAGGAACTGTAGCACTTGCTACTGGCTGACATGTTCTCCTGAAAGGAAGGCAGACAGAAAGCCAACAAAGTTTGGAGAAAAAGGTAAGTAAAAGACATTTAAAAAGACACCCACATAATATGCAATTAAACATAGCATTCCAGATATAAACATTTTTGTTTCTAATTTGCGATGTAAACACAGAAGTAAGGGCCGTCATTTCCAACATGGAAGATAAACATCCTCTCATTAGGGTGGCTGTGGAGCCAGGAATATCCCTGTGCCTTAAATCCTAAACATACTGACTGCAGCATCTCAGGACCAACACACCCCTATTCCCTGCATTTCCTATGGATAAAAATCACAAATTATTTTTTTCCCTGTGGGAAGCCTACACTCCTAGCTCTGGGTTCCTACTTTATATCCAGCATCCTGAGTAGTTTTTTGTCTACAAGTTCATTGCAGGATGAAATGATGGCTTTTTCCCTCTGCACTTCATAGCTGCCTTTCTACTAAAAAATGATAGTAAGCTTTATTTCTTTTATTCAAAATTCTGTTCTGACATTCCCAGTGTCAAGTGTCGGTATCATCAAAGTGACTACTAATTGTTTTTGAAAGTAGGCACTGAAAATCACGTTCAGAGTATGACTGCAAGGAATGTATGTTGTCTGACCTGAACCCTCATTATGATGAACCCCTGGTTTTTAAGTATCAGATAATGAGTATTGCCAAATGGGCTTCACATCTTCCATTGAAAGAACCAGTACACTCACAGTCTGATGCTGATTCACTCTAAAATTTTTGACAAGAGCTCTGTGATGTTGGATAATGAATGTACTTCTTTGGACCACAGTGTATGCATTCATGCGCATTTGGGAATTCATCAGTATCTACACATCTACTCTTTGAAAACTTACACACTGTAAGACCTCATCAAAGGTGTTAATACAATTTAGAAAAATGTAAAACCCCAAACAACTGGTCAATGCCCAAAATTTCACCAGAAGTGAGGAACAGATCTTCTGCACGGACAGCTTTGACTTTCTTCATCCTCTTGGTTATATTCTGGGGACCACTTGAGTTTTTTGATTTAGGCAGAGCATATCTAGTTCTCATTGAGTAGGGGGATACACTATGTGTATGTGAGGAAATTATACGGGAAACTTTTTTTCTTGGATTTACCGTGCAAAAATGAATTTATAGGGCAGTGACAAAATAGATGAAGTGTCACCTTTGTTCTCAAAAGATTAAGTTCATTATGTCAGGAATTTAACAATAGCACTTACGAAAAAATAAGGGGGATTATGTGGTAGATAGGGACAGGCGATTGGAAGATCTCGGGATGTGACGGAAAGAAAGACCCTTCCCCCTTCTCCCTGCTTCACGTTATCTATCACCCCCAGAACATGTAACCACACCTAACCCAGTAGTTTTCCACTCCCGACTAACCTAGAGACCCTACCAACCCCCCTCTGACGTAGCAAAGTCCCCCAAGACTATTTAAACCCATGAGATAAGATAATAAACGCTTTTGACCGTCCACCACATTGGTGTCAGCGTGTTGTCGTTAGCCCGAGTAGCCCGGGCAAGGCCGGGCTGCCGTGCTGTCTCCTTGCAACCAGGTCTCTGTTGCCTCCCCTGAAGGCAACATATCAAAAATGAGAGATTAAGCTATAAAAGTAGACTCACTCTAAATTCACTACTTTTGGAAAACATAGGTGTTTTATACATATATATATATATGTTGCTGTTCAGAGCTTAAGTAGGCACTTGGGATTTCAAGTGAAGGGTTACTTGGGTATCTCTCATATCTCTCCTTCTACATGTAAAAGAGAGAGATAAAGTTCTTCAGTCTCACAATGTCTTAAGTTATTCAGCCACACCTAATGTTTTAATTAAAATGTGCATGTTATCTCTTCCAATCCTGCAATTTATTTTTTTATTAGCAGAAATTAATTTAAAATAATCTCTACAAAGAAGGATAGCAAAATCTGCTAAACAATGTATTAAGCAAATCTCACACATCCAGAGTAAACTCCTGTTCTGCTGAAGTTGCAGAGTTATTTTTCACTTCTTTGCTTTTGAAGAAAGCCTAAATCTGACTGTCTCTTGAAATCATGAGTTCATCAAAACATCATCTGAACACAAAAAGCACAGGCCTGGAAAACATTATAGGTGCAGAACAATAGAAGAACAAAATTAGATAAAACTTTTAGAGAAACAAGAAGAAAGCCAACAGTGGCACTGCAGCATAAACAAATGTTTTCTCCAACAAGTGTTTCCTTGAAAATGTTTTTTGTTTTGTAGCAGGAAGAGAGGAATAGAATTTACACTGAAAAACCTGCCTGTTCAGCTCAAAAGCTCTTGGAAGACTAGGAAGCAGAGAATGGCATAGAAATGAAACTACCAGTTAAAACCAAATTGCTTTTAGCCAGTGTGCCAAATAAAAAGGCATTGAATCAAATTGGAATGGCAGAGAATATAGAGCAACATATATTTCATAAACAACTGTCTGAATTATTTAAAAAAATTATATGCAACAAAGATAAATTATTGCAAATTAATCTATGGACAAAAAACCAGACAAAATATGTTGGTAAAAATATTTATCAGAAATAATTTAACCAGGAAAGATTTCTTTGATCTATGCAGAAAAAAATCTTGTTTAAATGAATTAGTGAATGGAGGGAGACTTTCCTCAATAATGCAATCAGTTGCTGAAGGTGGGGCTTTCTGTTCTTCTCAGAGATGCACATTCAATACACATCAGCAATAAAGGTCCAACCCATCCTACATTTGCTATGATACCAATTCAATGTAAGCATTACTTATTGCTTCAAATGCATCAGGGTCACGTGCTGTGTTCATTATGTATGGAAAATAAGCCATATATTCTTCAGCTGAAGCAGACACAAACATGCAGTAATTCTACTGAAGCATTAAAGAATGCTGTGGACTTGAGACTGTTAAGGACATAGAAGTTATTCCTGCGCCTGTAAAAATTGGTGACTATTTCATTGAAGATTTTTCATGACATGTTTTAAGATAAGGTTTGACTTGCTATCTTCTTCCTAAAGCAATCATGTAAATCTGTACAGTCAAATCTGACTTTGCCTAACATGTTCAGTTATAATCAAGAAATCTTACACTGAATTTTGACTTGAAAAATGCTTTAATTTAGCACACGTGTCTTCGAGTGTTCTAAAGTTAACCTCACTAGTTATCTTCAATAAAGCAATAAGCCCTAGTGTGTCAAACATTACATAATTCAAAAGAAATATTGTGAAATTTTTAGGAGAGATCTCAGTGCAAGTTTGAGGGAAATTTTTAGTCAATCACAGAAATTTAAGACCTATATCGAACTTTTTACTTTTGTACGTGTATTCTTGATTGCCTTCTCTATGTAATAGGCTGAAGCCAATTCAGAACTGTAGTGTTTGGGCTTCCGTAACACTGATTTAGTGTGTACTGGTTATGTTTTAATATCTTAATATTAAGAAAGTGAAAGACTAGAATTTTGATTTGCTTGATTACTGTAAGTTTTTTTTTTCTTCCCTTCACTAATTGAATTATTAGCATTTATTTTGCTATCTAGAGAGATTTTAAATATATACAAAATAAGATAATGAATAAGAATAATGTTCCTTTGCTAGGACTAGGTAGAGGGACATACTTTGACTTACAGCATTCCAGGTATAAACCTGGAATGAAACTGCCATTTCAAAAACCTGAACAAATACGTTATTTGATATGAGGTATTCTGCAGGGTTCACAACAAATGAGCACACTTAACCACACTAAACTGGTTACAAAAAATGGCTACTATGCCTTAACCTACTTTTGTTTTGATTTTTTTTTTTTTAATCTCTTATCTGGGAAGGTAGACACATCATTCTATGAGTGATGATATCTGAAACATCCCTGAGTGTTGATAAAGATTAATACACTGTTGTTTCTCATGGGTGGTTCACTTCGAGATTGTTTTCCATATGGTACCAGCCACACTCTTCTATTGTTGATTTATTTCTCCTGTATTAAAGCAAAAGTAGAGAAAAGCCCTTTGATCTCTCACCACAGCACCCACTAATCAGTCCAATTTAGAAAAAACCCTTTATCACACATCTTTTCAAATGTGGCTTCTTTACTTGGCTCAGACAGATTAAACGTTGCATGGAGTATTTTGAGTGCTAATAGCAGCATAACTTCCCACCACATCCTGAGCCACGCACACACTCCATTTGCTTGTTCTTGTTCATGTATTTAGACTTCAATGCTTACAAGGTTAAACAACTGTTTTGTTAAAAATGCCAGACAGTAGTGGTTTGAAATGGTCCACCACAACCAAGCTGCCATCACCACTGTGATTGTCTGCTTTTAGTCATGCCCCTCAAAAATGCTCTCCTGAGGATGCCTTAGCCATGCCTCAACTTAAATTGCTGGTTGATTTCTTCTGGTAACTTTTCTTAGATGCAAATTTATGTCACAGATACTTTCATATATGTGATGGGCCTCCTCAGCCCTTCTGTTAAAGCCTTGAACTAGGATGGATGGTGTTTAAAGAGCAGATTACTGACCCTTTATTTTCTTCTTACTCTTTGTTCTCCTTAAGGCTCCACTTGCTTCCCTATTAAAAAAAAAAAAAAAAACAACAGAAAAAACACAAAACAAAATAAAAATAAAAATAACAACAACCCAAACAAAACTCCACAAACCAAATGAAACAAACAAAAAACCCAAAAAAAGTATTTTCAGAGAAAAGTAGTTGTTAAGAGAGAAAGGCAGGGTTGGCAGCTGTGAAGAGATCTCTGCAGAATCCAGCTGTGCAAGAAGCTACATTGCAGATGTCACCTTTCTCATCTCCTACTGTGTATCAAACTGGAAAATCTGTGTCTAAGTGGGAAGAAATGGGAAAAGGTGGTTCCTTTTTCATGCACATTTACTCCTTTAGCTTTGAAGGTTGTCAAATATGAATGCTTAATGCTACACACATCTGTTCTCTAAAATCTGGGAAAAAAAAAACACCTTGCAAGCCACTCCTGTCAAATTAATGGCTACTGTGCTCTGAAGGAAAAAATTTTAGCATAGCCAATGCCCTGTGAGTCCT